ACAGATCTTCATGCTACCTCGTCAAGTGAGACAGTCACTGAGCGTGGGTCACACAGATCTTCATGCTACCTCGTCAAGTGAGACAGTCACTGAGCCCAGGTCGCACAGATCTTCCTGCTACCGAGTCACATGAGACAGACACTGAACCCAGGTCACACAGATTCTGCACTGATGGGGCACTGGTGACATCCTGTGGAATAACTACAGAGGTGATGGCTGCAGTAGTACGGCCAGAGCCAAGATCCTATGAGGTGAGCTGAGGACTAGAGACAACAGAGTCTAATGTAATCCTTTAAGTATTTGACTATAAAACTATAGTTACTCCAGCCAAACTCCCCAGAGTCACCCTCTTTCATTCACCCTCTCCCCCTGCGTTCCTCCATCAGCAAATCCCTGTGCTTGACCCCAGATAGGTCTTCCCTTTCCACTCTGCTCCCTGCTACCACTCTCTCCAAGCCACCACCATTTCTAATCTGGATCTGGCAATACCCACCAATATGGCCTCTCCCTCATGTGTGCCAGGCACTGTCTTGGGTGTTGGCAATATGTCTACCTCCTAGGCAGGGACCTACAGCTGCAGACCAGGGTCCTGTGGTCAAAGGATGAAGTTCCTAAACTAGGAAGAGACTGTTCTGCTAAATTGGGCCAGTCCATCCCACAGAGCATTTACTTATGCTATCATGAAGAGAGAAGAGAAGGCAGTGGCTTTCAGACTATTGCTTATTTTTTTTTTAGAGACAGAGTTTCACTGTGTTGCCCTCAGTAGAGTACCGTGGCATCATAGCTCACAGCAACCTCCAGCTCTTGGGCTTAGGTGATTCTCTTGCCTCAGCCTCCCAAGCAGCTGGGATTACAGGTGCCCGCCACAATGCCTATTTTTTGTTGCAGTTGGGCTGGTGGCCAGGTTCTAACCTGCCACCCTTGGTATATGGGGCAGGTGCCCTATTCCCTGAGGCACAGGCGCTGCCCCAGACTACTGCTTTTATAATTTGCTTTTTCTTATGAGAGTTTTTACACATTGGTTATTTTGTACTGCCTCTATTAGATAGCAGAGAAGCTGACTACCCAGGTCCCACAGGAGAAATGAGAAGGTGCGTCAGTCATCTCAGGTGTGGGTGAGGGAGGCAGGTCATATTCCAAAGGGGATGACAAGGATCGGGCTGTGTCCACAAAGCTTTGTGGAGAATAAATTTCTTTGTGCCCTTCTCTCTACAACATGGGGAGTGCCATTCTACCCAAACCACAAAACAATTCAAGCAGAGGCTGCTTCTCCCACAGCAGGTTGAAGAACCAGTGCCAGGTAAGAACTGGTTAACACCTACTGCCACCTTGAGCAGAACACAAGGGACACTGGGGAACCCTTTGGCTGCTACCTGTTCTCTGGCATTCACTACCTGAACCTTTCATTCACTACCTCATTTGAAAAAGAGAGAGAGAAAGATCTTACTGATCTGAGAACTGATTCTCAGCTCCCAAATCTCACAGAAGGACAATCAACAAGTAAATCAATGAAGTAAATAAACTAATTATAGTTGAGGTCAATGCTACTCAGGACAGAAAGGACAGAGACTCCCCCCTCACTGGAGGGGCAGGCAAGGCAGGGAAACCCCTGTCAGCTGGGTGGCCAGTCAAGGGCTCTCTCAGGAGAGGACAGTTGAGATAATAAGCAGCTATCTATCTCAGTAGGCTGCACGAATCACCTGTAAAATGGTGCTGCTTTTGCAGTATTTTCTATGAGCAGGAGAAAGTAATACTTACCCACTCCTCCAAAGGGGAGAGAATTGAGTATGAAGTGCATGATGACATCATTGCCTGTGACACCACCACTGGACGTCTCGTCAATCATCCGTTTGATGAGCTGAGAACAGACCCCAGGCATCCAGGTCAGTGACACTGCGCCTTACAGAACGCCCTGTAGGGCTGTGTGCTCTAGGGATGCACGTTCCGGCTTTGTGTCAGTGGGAGTTCTCAAGTTTGGGGACACTACACCAGACAGATAATCTAAACTGTGGCTAATTCACCCAACATGACAGACATCTAACTTTTCAGATGCATGTCCAGTGCACTGTGGGTGGCGGCCTGAACCTTTGTGCCACCGAGAGTTGTAGTCTCCCAACAGCAGCCAAAGGTTCTGTGTTTACCAGAGATAATTTTGACTATGTTCTAAGTCTTCGAAAATTATCTCAATCTCTGCTCTAAATTATAGCATGTGTTAACTAGGTATTATTTGGTCTTTATGAAATGCAAAAGTATTTAAGAGTTTGGATCGAGCATCCTATTTTTCTTTTTTTTGGCAGTTTTTTGGTGGGGCTGGGTTTGAACCCACCACTTCTGGTATATGGGGCTGGCGCTCTACTCCTTGAGCCACAGGCGCCACCCCACGAGCATCCTATTTTTTAAGAAATAAATTGTTGGTTGGCCTAAGACCCAAGAAGGCATGAGGACGTGTGAGAAGCAAATGTTCCCCCAGCTGGTGCCAATAAATCCTTGAGAGCACTTCCTGGCAACTGCCAACCTGGACTGCAGTGACCTCGGGTGACCCTCTGCCTGCAAGTGCTCCACACGAGCTGCAGCCTGGTGGACAGATTCAGGCTTCAAGGTTCCCTCTTGCCCACAACTTCTTTAGGGTCATTTTATTTTTAGCTTTTTATTTTCATTTATTTATTTATTTTTATAGTTTTTGTCTGGGACTGGGTCTGAACCTGCCACCTCTGGCATATGGGGCAAGCACCCTACTCCTTTGAGCCACAGGTGCCACCCAGTTTATTTTTCTTGAGACAGTCTCAAGTTGTCACCCTGGGTAGAGTGCTATGGCATCATAGCTCACAGCAACCTTCACCTCTTGGGCTCAAGCAATTCTCTTGCCTCAGTTTTTAGTGCATTTAGGATAACTGTAAATGTCAAGCCATTGTTTTGTTAATAACCCAGTCATTCCTGGGCCCCACATTTGGTCTCATGTCAATAGCTATCTGTGTTTCAGTAGCATCACAAGCTCCAGAAGCTGTCACATGACCACGCACACATCATCAGCAGCTCCCCAGTCAACGCTGCCTCCTCAGACCTTGACTGGTGCCGTCTTCCTTTTCTAGTTTTCCTGTTCAGAGGGCTCATGACCCGACTTAGCCACCTTGAGGCCCCTGTCCCTTAGCAGCAGCCAGTCACCTAGTGACGTGACTGAGCCATGCAGACAGTGGCAGGGCTGCCCCACCACCAGTCACCTAGTGATGTGACCGAGCCATGCAGATAGTGGCAGGGCTGCCCCACCACCAGTCACCTAGTGATGTGACCGAGCCATGCAGATAGTGGCAGGGCTGCCCCATCACCAGTCACCTAGTGACGTGACCGAGCCATGCAGACAGTGGCAGGGCTGCCCCACCACCAGTCACCTAGTGACATGACTGAGCCATGCAGACAGTAGCAGGGCTGCTCCACCAGGTGATATGGCTCCAACACTCTAACAATAAGATAACGTAGGTGGGAACTGAAATCCACGATGTCACACCATTTACATGGCAGTGCCAGAGTCTTTGTTCCACACAGCCCTGTACAAGTGGATGTGAAAGGCATTTAGATCACAGGGCAGGCTCTTACACAGCAATGCCCTGTGGATTAACATCAGAAAGCCATTTAATGCTGGTACATACAAGTCCTTCCAAGGACAGGAGTTGTTTGTGAGCCAAAAATCTTGTGACACTCACCCCTACAGGCTCAGATCCCCTCAGGCCCCTAACCCCAGGGAGTACATGCAATGATAACCCCAGGGCCTCATTACCCAAGATAGGAATCTAGGAACACAGTCTTCACCTGGTGAACCCTGATGACAGCTGCCTGTGATAGTGAACTATCCTCCACAAATCTTACCTTAGAGTTATGAGAAAACACATAGAGAGCCAGGGGCTTTTCACGTTCATTTATGAAATTTATGGCTTCATCTACATTTTTCACAGGCACTATTGGAAGAATTGGTCCAAAAATTTCTTCTTGCATCACCTTGGTTTCAGGATCAACATCAGTGAGTATTGTTGGAGCTGCAAAGAAAATGAAAATGAGACGCTGAAGCAGAAAACCGACATGCAAGACTCTCATCTTACACGTCCTTCCCTGAGCCTCGTGCCTTCCTTTCCTTCTCCCACCCACATCAAAGCTACTGAAAAGTCCTGGGCATGTGGATAAACCACATTAAACGTCTCCAGAGCATGTGAACTGGGGGATTCCTGTGCAAACCAAAGGAAAGGCAGATGCTCAGATGCGCCTCAATCACATTTAACCCCATTCACAGCCACAGGCACACGTCACTTATTTAACATCCCTCTGTGAACAGCTCATGCTGAGAGACAGTCGCTCTGTGAATCAAATCAGCACTATTTCTTCCGGTGCTTTCCTGCATATTATCTCACTGACACTCATTATAACTCTATAAAGATGGACACTGAAGAGGCTGTGCAGAACATCCCAGCATCAGGGCCAACATAAATGACCAATTAGTAGTGCTCAAAAAGACCCAGTAAACAAACTGGATTGTCAGCCGAAAGAGAAGACATTGCGATGAACAAGTTGGCTCTTTTTCTTTACGCCTGGTTTCTGCGAGGTTATCGTGGCAATGTGACTGGGGACAGCTCTTTGCAGCACCACTGCAGGAGCAAACTGCTGCCCAGACCCACTGCCCACATCTTCACCAGGTCAGAGAACAGATTTACTTTGGGCATCTACCAGGTAAGGTGACCCCAGCTCCAGGTCAGGGCAAAGTCTTAATTAGTCTATAAGCTAATCAGAAAGCCCCTTCCTCTTTTCTTTTTTTTGAGACTGGTTTACTTTGTCACCTTCGGTAGAGTGCCATAGCGTCACAGCTCACAGCAACCTCAAACTCTTGGGCTCAAGTGATTCTCTTGTGTCAGCCTCCTGAGCAGCTGGGACTACAGGCACTCGCCACAACACCCAGCTATTTTGTTAGAGATGGTGGTCTCAATCTTGCTCAGGTTGGTCTCGAACCTGTGAGTTCAGGCAATTCACTTGCCTTGGCCTCCCATAGTGCTAGGATTACAGGCATGAGCCACCACACCCGGCTAGCTCCTTCCTCTAGCCTTGAAGTAGGCAAGTCAATGTGCTGAAGATGAGAACAGAGAGATGAAAAACTTGGTGGTGTGGCAGCGCCTGTGGCCCCAGCTACTGAGGAGGCTGAGGCAAGAGAATCACTTGAGCCCAAGAGTTTGAGGTTACTATGAGCTTTGACCCCACAGCACTCTACTGAGGGGGACAAAGTAAGATTCCTATTTCAAACAAAGTAAATAAATAAAAACTTATTAAAGAAAAACCACATTATTCTAGACTGCTCCTGTCGCTGGCTTGGGCAGATTAGTGGCAAAGCTATCTCCTTCTTCGTGCTATTTTCCCAACCATAAATATAAAGTTCTATTCTGTTTCTCAGGGTTGTTAGAAAGAAAAACAGTTAGATCATATTTGTGTAAATATGGAAAACTAGTACAATACTTGTGGTATTATTAAACACGTACACATATGTACATTTTAAAATAGCTTATAACAAAAGTAGTATTCCAGAAAGCAGTATTTAAGACTTTATGAACTAAATGCTGTGTATTTAACAGTTAGTGTCAGTAAGGAGCACCAGTAACACGGCCACACTGCCATCGTCCCGTAGGAAAAGGTACACTCCCATTACCTATATAGCGGGTGTCTTCATCAGTCTCTCCACCAAAAGCTATCTTTTGTCCTTCCAGCAAGCTTAGGATCCTCTTAAAATGACGAGGATTAATTATCCTTTCATAATCAGGAGACTCTTTTATATTTTCTCCATAAAATTCCTATTTAAAACAATAGGAGCATTTAATTGTTACGAAGACCCATATTTCAGTTTCTTCAGTAAATACAAAATCCACACATGCTTCCAAACAGATCTAATTTTATATGCTCATAGAATCCAATACCCACCCCCCAGGTAATGGTACTAAGCTTAAGCTTTTTGGCAGGTCAAGGACTAAAAGATAAAAGTCCACGTGCATACACACACACAGAAACACTCACGCACACACACACATAGACACACAGAAACACACACGTGCGCGCACACACATAGACACACACAGAAACACACATGTGCACGCACACACACACATCTATCATTTCTGTAGGTCTGGGGGTCCTATGGATCTCTTGGGGTTTACCCATGAGCCTTTCTGGGGATGAAGATAAGAGTGGATGTGAGGAAAGAAGTCTCTGTATCAGGGATCCCCATTTATTTACACACTGGTTGTGGCTTCTCATCCCCGGCAGTAAGGTGGGTGGGTAGCTGCAGCAGAGAACCTACGGCCTGCAAAGCCTAAAATAGTAATATTTACTATCTAGTCCTTTACAGAAAAAGTTTGCCAACCTTTACTCTATTTTGTTGTTTTAATCTTCTCTGAAGTGGTATTTCTACCTATCACAGATGACGGTGAAACTGATCAAAGGATTGAAATACAGCTTTGGTTAAATTACCAAGGTAGAAGAACCTCAATCATCATACAATCAATATTTATTATATAAAACAAAAACAAAGTTACTGCATTGCTACATCACTTCAAAACCTTGTGAAGGCTCTCAATTTGTAATCTCAAATGAAAATGAAGACTGTTCAGACACCCTCCACCAAGAGTGACTCTCAAGTCTGGGTGGTAGGAATCACCCCAGCAGCTTGCTGAAATGCATGTTCCTGGACCCTCACTCTGGGGTCACCAACAGTAGTATTCAATTCTGACCACATCACAGAATCACCTGGGGCCTCAGACAGCCTGAATCAGAACCTTAAGAGGGGCCTCAGCACCCACAGCACAATGGTTATAGTGTCAGCCACATACACGGAAGCCGACAGGTTCGAACCTAACTGGGGCCAGCTAAGTAACAATGACAACAGCAACAACAACAAAAAATATATAGTCAGGTGTTGTAGTGGGCGATTCTCTTGACCCAGCTACTTGGGAGGGTGAGGCAAGAGAATCGCTTAAACCCAAGAGTTTGAGGTTGCTGTGAACTGTGATGCCACAGCACTCTACAGAGGGTGACATAGTGAAATTGTCTCAAAAAAGAAAAATAAAGAATCTTTAGAGGGAAAGGACTGGAAACCTACTTTTAACAGCTCCCTTGTCGTGATTTTGTCGTGATTCTAACAAGCAGCTCAGTTAAGAACCGCTGTGTTGGGCGGCACCCGTAGCTCAGTGGTTAGGGTGCTGGTCACATACACTGAGGCTGGTGGGTCTGAACCCTTCCCCAGCCAGCTAAACAGCAATGACAACTTCAACAACAACAACAAAAATAGCTGGGCGTTGTGGCAGGTGCCTGCAGTCCCAGCTGCTTGGGAGGCTGAGGCAAGAGAATTGT